ACCTACATGAAACCTAAAAACAACAAAACCACAGACCCCACACAATACAGACCAATTACATGTCTTCCAACACTCTACAAATTATTGACATCCTGTATCACAAACAAAATATACAAACATGTTGAAGAACACGACATTCTTACAGAACAACAAAAAGGTTGCCGTAGAAATCACAGGGGATGCAAAAAACAGTTACTCATAGATTCAGTCATTCTATGGCAAGCACACAAACAACACAGAAACATACACATGGCATATATAGACTACAGAAAAGCATTCGACAGTGTTCCACACATTTGGCTGCTACATACGAGGTCTAAAATGATAGTGACACTTAATATTTTCAGCTTAATATTGGCTTGGATGTTATCTGAGTTAACAAGGTTCACATTTGTGGATCAGGCAGAGGTGTGCATTAAAAAGAATCTGCTAGTTTCCCTTGGTCACTAGTGGTAAACACAGCACTGGACCAAGTATGGCTATTGCTTTAAAAATGCCTAACTCTCATAAAATGGATAACACATCAACCCAGCCAAAGTTCTTCAGTGGTAATACAACTATCAATCACCAAGGCCAGAAAATGATTTTATCTTGACATATCATATAGAATAAACTATTATTATTTCTAATATGCCTAATTATATATAATGAACAATTTAATAAATTTGACAGAGAACATTTTTATTTGTTTCTATTTTGAACTGTTATGATTTTAGATGTTTTATTTTTATAGTTTTATAATATTCAATTAAATATTAAATTTTATAATAATTACAATAAAAATTGATTATTCAACTGTTTCATTTTTATTTTTAATGGGAAATGTTCTAATAAATGGTCTATAAAAAATAAAAACGTTTTAATAAACTCTGTCATCTGCAGCAGGGAATAATTTTCCTTGTTTATCAGATCATGCATTTGAGTCCAATTTTACATAAAACTGTTTTATTACTGATTTTTATTGGTATCGTAACTGTTATTAGGAGAAAAGAATATCATAAACATAGTGATAAAGCTCAACACAAATTGGATCAACTTATTTGAAACATCTTTTGTACATGCATATGTATTATAAAAATATTTTAAAAAAACTATTAAAAATATGTAAACCAGCATGAAGTATATAGTGCTATGCAACTTATGTATAGTAACTTTTATTTTGTATTGATACATATATTATTAACGAAACAATATATATATATATATTGTTCCGTTTTTCTGTAATGCGTTTCCATATATTGTTGTATGTGTGTCATGAAAAACCTTCATCTCTTGCCCAGGTGTCACCTTTCCCTAGTTGCATGTTTGGAGCCTTATAATTGGTCTGGGATAATGTCATGTGTTAGTGATCTACTTCTGGGGATCAGGAATTGTAAAAAGGATAGACATTTGCATCAAGATACTTTTTCTTTTGGACTCTTTGGGAAAGATAGCTCAGCAACTGAGCCTGAAAGACTTTGATTCAGATGGATAAGCTACATGAGATAAAGAGGAACAAGGAAAAGGGGAGCTTCAGAACCAGGAGATAGTCGCCATTGACAAAGGGATGTCTTGATCTGAAATTAAATGATCTGTTTCCATCATGCTGGGACAGTGGACCATCAGCAAGGGATACATATATTTGTGAATTAGGCCATCTGGGATCCAATCAGGATGATTAGTTATGAGAATATAAGTTTTTTATATATATGTTATTGTCATCTTTGCAGGAACCAATATGTCATCATGGGATTGTGCAGGGCTTCTGTGTATAAGCATTGTATTGAGGAAAAGATGTACATCGATGGAAATCCATTAGTTTGTAAGACTAAAATCATTCTTATTCGGGCAGTAAGATTGGTATGACCACTCTAGTCTCGTGACTGTACATTGTGTACTGTTTCATGTCAAACATCGTGTCATGTAATAAACAATTTTTGCTCTCTTGGTTAAGTGTGTACATGTTATTGATCAATACTTAGGTCCTTTTAGGTTAATTTCTTCATAAGTCCCGTAGATCTTGCTCTACGGGAGTCACTACAAGTAGATTTAATTAAATGAAAAACAAACGTTTTCCTCCATTTTAAAATACAACATTGGGCATGTGCATATTTCATGACATTCAAAACTTTTAAATTTTTGTTATTTTTAATAAAACATGCATTCTATTAGTTCTACATAGAGTAAACCTAATGATGACTGTTAAAAATGAAGGAAAACGTTGTTTTTCATTTAATTAAATCTACTTCATGCTGGTTTGTAGATATTACATATTTTTATTGCTTTATTATACCAGTAGTTTCATGGAGATTGTAAAAAACTATTTTCATTTCTTAGAAAATATTAGCAAAAAATCACTTTTTAAATTTTTGATCTCTTACAGTAGTTTTTCTTCCTTTAATTTAATTTATCAGAAATTAAAGTTTATGATATTTATTAGTAAAATTTAGGAAATTTGAGCTTACTCTAGGACCTGCATCTCCACGATCTCCTTTTTCTCCTTTTGGTCCAGAGGCACCAGGAGCACCCTAGAAAGATTGTATGAACATAAAAGAAAATTGTATAAATTGTTGTTATTAAACTATTATAAATAAACATTTTTACAATTTATAAATCCATTTAATATATCTTACATGTTCACCTGGTTTTCCGCTAAATCCAGTTGGTCCCTTTTCACCAGTACTTCCCTGAAAATATTAACAATGTAAATTTTAAATGTTCTTACAAAGTAATTTATTTTTGGAAGATAAAATTAAATAAGAAATTAATTTACATACAGTTTGCCCTGGTGGCCCTGGTGGTCCTGGTTCAGGAAAAACAGTTTCTTTTTGTCCTTCAACAGCTTCTACTGATTTTCCAGGCAAACCCTGATCACCTATAGGACCTGGTTCACCTTTTTGACCTTTTTGTCCTTTTATACTCTCTCCTACAACTCCCTGAGGTCCTTGTTCTCCAATCCATCCTTTTGGACCCTTAAATTAAGTAATGACTTTAATATTTAAAACACAAATTTTTATATAGGAGTTCTCAAACTTGTGTAAATAAAAATATATTAATAAAATTACTAAAAAAATAATTAGATTCATTTGATAAATTTAGTAATATCAACTTTGATGATGATATATTATATATAGTTGTGGTCAAAAGTTTAGCAACACCTTATTACTTTATATAAAAATTAAAAATGTAAAATTAAAAATAAAATTAATTGGTGTTCATTTAGTGCAAATTAATAGCATATGAAATAATCCTTCTGTCCTGAAATGCAAAGCGGAAAAGAAATATTTTGTATTTAACAATTTGTTTCTGTAATGAAGTTTGTGTGATAGTGCATGCACAAAAATTTAGCAATGCTGATAAATTTTGAAATTTCATTTCAAATTCAAGTTAAATAAACACATTTCGTTTATTTTGAATAAAACAATACATATTTTAACCAAAAACAGTGATTAAAGCATTAAGAGATGAAAATTTAAATCTTTCTGTAATTGCAGAAAGGATAGACTGTAGTTAAAGTGCCTACAGTCAATTCCTTACATGTTTAGAAGAACTGAAACTTGTATTGACTGGTAAAGATCTGGATGACCATGAATTACCACTAAGCAAATGGATGGCAAACTTCAAAAGAAAAGGACAGACAGTTTTACTTCTGCAAACATCAAACAAGAAATTGAAAACAATGAATTGGAAAATGTCAGCACTAGGACTATGATACATTTTTTTGGTCACCACTGTAAATATAATATAATGCTGTATATAATTGTGCTTTTCACATCAGAAAATTTATTATAATAATCATTTTATCAAGAAGAAACAAATTCTGAATTATATAAAACTTGACTTTATATACAAATTTGTGGAAAGGAATGCTTTTGCAAATCAGAAGTATCTGTACTTATTTTTTCCTTCTGTTAATAATATACATGGTATAATTTTAATAAATTAATTTCATAAATCAAAATAATCAAAATGCTATAATAAAATTGAATTATAAAAATACTTTTACATTTTTCAATGATATTAAAAAAGAATAGATAATTTTGATGATCATTTTTTAGTTAACAAGTAAAATTCTAATTCCTTATATTTAAAAATACATGCATAGAAACAAATTTTAAATATTGACTAAATAAAATACTCTTACAAATTTAGTAGCAGTTCAAAAATTATCTTTCCAAAGCTATATGAAAATGAATATTTATATTTGATTATGTATATATAGGGTATGTTCGTAAAGCCGAGTGAGTTAAACGCATTAGTAACGAATTGTTCTAAAAGTAGTAATCTTGTTCAGTGCCCATGCTCTGTGATGATGACGTTTCAAACAAAACTCTAATGAAGTTCATAAAGAAAAGAGTTAGTTTACTTCGTTAAGAAAATGGCAGCCGACAATATCGATGTTACTAAATCTACTCGAGTGTTTAAACTGTGAAATAAAAAGTGAAATGATAGAAATAACTGTCCACTCAAAGCAATCTAAGAAAAATATTTTGGATAGGCTGCACTAGCAACATTCATATCTTCGATTTTAGAAACAGCCATTTAGTTATAAATGAATCATTCGAAAAGTCTAATGAAATAAGAATAACGTTATTCTTGTTTAACTCATTCAACTTTATGAACGTACCCATAATATTATTTATGTATATGTTATATTATGTAATAATATTAATAATTATAATTATGTAATATTCAAATCAAATCATTTATTAATGTATTTAGGAATTAATCCTGTTACAAGAACTCTAAATAGAGTCACAACAAACAAAGAAATCTATAAATTAGAATTTGACTCTGTGAAAATAATTAAAAACTTTCTATATTATATAAAGTGTGGCTATCAACTGCCAAACAGACCATATCATTGGTTTCTTCACTAATCTTGCATTAATAATTATAATATTTATTTATTTAATTAAATATTATAATTATTAATTTTAATACGAGATGGTACCTAACGCCTCACTCTAGTGCCAAATTCATTTCTAATTTATAATCATTATATCCAGTGGTGATATTCGAAATATTTAACAAAGGGTTTGCTAACAGAAAATTTTTCCTTAACAATTTTTTTCCACTCAAATGGTGAATTAGCAACATTAGCACAAAAACTGACCCTAAGATACCCATATAAATAAAAAAGATGTGTTCGCAAAATTAAGTCAGTTAAAATTTAACATTGCTTATGCCAAAACTATATTTTTTTTATAAATAATAAAAGAGAGTATTCAAAATGGTTTAATTTGTACATATTGCAGTGCTTCGTCACTATACTTTTGTTTTTGGTATTTGTATGTTATACCCTTTGTGTAATAAGTTTCATTATTCTGTGCCTGAAATTGTAATTGTGTAATTAATATTTTATTAATTTTCCATTCCGTCTGAACTGCCTTTTTTTTGTGGCACCGCCACCATGTAACGATTGGTTGTGCAGTGATCACGTGAAGAGGGTGATGTAGCATGATGGTGGGATGTATAAATTGTCATCCCACGTGTGAAGGAACCACCTTTTTTTTCCTAACCGGGACTTGGGTCAGGTGTGCAGAGGTGTGTTGGAGCGAAGAGTGAGATAGAAGAAAGTAAGGACATGATTCGGTTTGGACAAAAAAACAGAAAATCGTCTTCTCTGAGCTAATCAGGGAGCCACATGGCCGAATTTATTGGGAGCGGACTCTGAAATACAAGGTGGAACTTTCATTCTTGTACTAAGGAGATTCAACGAGGGACCTGCATCTGTAAAAATAATTGTAAAAATTTTTTTTCTTTCGATTATATTCACAAAGGGAGAATATACTAATTGTCGCGAGTTTTGTTACTTGTACCTAGTAGTAGTTAGTGAATGTTTAGTTATATTGTCAATTATTAAAACTTTTTTTCAAATTGCAACCCAAGTTGTTGTTCATGTAAAGTCCTCACGCACACATTTTTACCCAACTGATTGTCTGGAGTATTTTCAATACTCCCGAACACTACAATATTTTATTACAACACGTGTTCCGCAGCCATCTTGTATTTTCTCACACTTGTGAGATTGTGGGATCTCTTGAGTCAATTGTGATTGAACCTTGTTTCAGTCGAGATTAAAACGGTTGAGGGAGGTCGCACCAAGGCAAACAGGGTATAAGGCTCTAGTTTAGTAGCGTTACAGAGTATAATACAGTGGAACCCCGGTTAACGAACGTCCTGGTTAACGACCAAATTGGTTAACGAACTTTTTTGGAAAATTTTTGTCTTGGATAACGAACAAAATTCGGATAACGAACTTAACGGCTTTTTGTGTCAATTTTGTAAGCTTGCCAACTTTTAGGGAAAATCAATTAATCGTGTGTCGGTGATGGTCTAGGGTCCATTCGTACGTTGGTGGTGGCGGAGGAGACAAAGATGACAAGTATTTTAGGCCAAGACTCCACTAGCGTAAAAACGGCCGTAAAAACCTTTGCCGTAAAAACTTTTAATCACGTGACCTATTTGCGTTTGCGTCTGAATTGCGGTGAAGGTCCGGCTAGCGAAGTTTTTATGGCGACGGTACTATCGAAGTTATAAAGACAATGATTATATTCTACAAGTTTTTTTCTGTACTATAATTACAAATGTAGTAAAAATAATATCTTTACTTTCATATATTAACTTTTATTATTGTATTATTAATTAAGATAATATACAGCACTTATTAAGCTTAGCTTTTTTTCATTATATACTCCTCTAAATTGAAGGATTTTCCTTTGGCCATCCCTATCGCGTGATTTAGGCATTCCTTTATTATAATCGGATACTTCTTGTCGTAGATACACGAATACTTTCGGACGTTTTCAATAAATCTTTCCAGATCTATTCTAGAGTAGACACGAGGGATAGCACACAAAAGCTCGTTTTTCACCATTTTTGCACCGCGTCACAATGACCTAGATTTAACTGACTTCTGATTGGTGGATGGTACCGTTTTACAGCCGTATTCGCGTCCAAAGTTAAACACTGCTCAACTCGCTTTCACGTTGGTTTTACGGCCTGCTCAAGCGTAAGATATCGGAGTCACGTGATTAAAAGCTTTTACGGCGAGGGGTTTTTACACTGTTTTTACGGTAGTGGAGTCTTAGCCTTACAGTGAAAATCGTTTATTAGAACGGGAAGATGCTTACATATTTGGGTAGTTGGAAATGGCTTATCTACAGTACTTTCTCTCGGCACTGACGAGTGGCATATTGCTGGTCCTACAATAGTGCAAGCTGATTAGTCGTAGCCCCAGAGTGGACGAGATGGGTTCGCTTGGTCACAGAAGCGATGGTAGGTGACAGACTGCAACAACTGGAGCGGTCCGCGAGACACAACATAAATTTTAGCAGGCATGACTTCAGGCTTAATCCAGATGAAGACGACACAGATTAATCGCCATAGAATTTTTAGGAAAACTGCGTTTTGACCTTGAGATTCGGGATTTTTATAGTATTTCTTTCTTGAATCTCACCTTATGATTAGTCCTGCGTCCCATTCCTCGCTTCCTGATTGTTTTCTTCTTTGTCTCCAGGTGAAAACTGAAACCAGATCAGGTCACAAGAAAGGTTTGTTCCGAGGCATTTATTTGACACCTGTTTGTCAACTCTGATCAGAGATTGTTGATAAACCTATAAGCCTTTCGCTCATAATTTAGCCTATTGTTTCTGCTATCTGTCATTTTAGAACTTTAACGATCGTATGTGATGTTTTTTATA